TGCCACCCAATTGCTGTCCAACTTGTACTGCTCCACGGCAGCCATGAGCAGCAGTAGCAGTAGGTGACACTTGTCGCTCTCCCCGGCCTTGAGCAGCGTGAGGCATCTGGCAATGGCCCATGTCATGTAGCCTAAGCTCCTCTCGGAGCCCAAGGGGAGTTGTTCCTTGGCATACCTTTCCATAGTGGAGCCCGTGGCCTGCTGTTCTCCTAGCAGGTGGGCGGCATTGGTCTCGATGCTTGGCAATGTAAGCTCGCGGATCGGCTTCCATAGCCATACGCAACTTCTCTGCCAACATTGTGCCACGTGCTCCAGTCAACTTCCTCAGTGGGTCGCTCTCCTCCTCCCCTTCGGAATCCGACATGGCCTGCAGAGGCAAGCCCGGAGCTTTGGACTTCTTCTTCTTGCTCTGCTGCTCAACAGACTCACCAAAGCTGTCCGCAGCAAACTGTCCGTAGTGGGTTCGGCTTCGGCCTCCTCCTCGACGTCCTCGACGCGTAGGCCGGTTCCTGCGGCCGCGGGGACGCCACAGTCCAGGAGGGGTGCGCCAACTGCAGGTCTGGGGAGCGCTGCAGATCGGGGAGGTGGGCCAACCAGCGCCTGAGCCTTGGCCAGCGCCCCAGACGGCTGCCCGCTCGACAATGCTGCGCTTGGCGCTGCCCCCAGATCCCTTCCAGCCTTCAGGTCTGCCAAGTCGGCTTGCAGCGCAGTCACTGTTTGCAGCAATTGCTGCAACGTGTCCTTCTGTCCTGTTGACCTCACAGGCGCCGGCGACGGTTCCACCGCCGTGGCATAGGACTCGGACAAAGCGGACTCCTGCGTCTGTACCCACTCGCGTGCCAGGAGCCCAAGCTGATCCGTGTTGATGTGGCAAACAGGGTTGTCCTCGTACTGAGGCCAAATGGTTGCTTCTGGCCAGGCCGGCTCGGCCCCGCCGGCTGTTCGCAAAAACTTGTACAAACTCTGAGGCCAGTCCACCAACACCATTGCCACATCGCCCGGCTCCTCTTCCTCGTCCTCTGGCAAGCCATCCACTGCAACAATCTTGGTTGGGCCCAGGTCGTCTGTGAGCCCCTCCATCTTCTGGTCTGCGCGCTCCTGCTCCGTGAGGGCTTCCACCGCCATAGCCAGTAAGAGGCCCCCCTCTCGGCGCAGCACTGGCATCACTGCCACCTCCCTGCTGCCTCCACGCAAAAGGAGCCATTCTGGATGTCCCCCCTCTGCCAGCTCAAGCGAGGCTGCTCTTCGCACCCCTAACAATCGCCAAGGCATCTTAGATAGGTTCTGGCAACTGCGTTCCACTGACGCCAAATCAGCAGGTGTTCTGTATACCCGTGCTTGCGGGCTGCACCAAATCTTGCTTCCCAACGTCCAGTTCTGAGCTGCCCACTCCAAAGGTGCGCTCCCTCCACGCACGGGCAGCGCCGGTACCCTTTCTGGAAGAGCGGCGACCCACCAAGCGACTCCGCACAGCAGAATCCCGCAAGTGCCGGGGAGCCTCCACCACTGTCCACTCAGCGGCGCCGTTGTTCTGTCAGCCTCCGCCTCAGCGGACGCAGGTCCCACTGCAACTTCCACTCGAATCGAAGATCCAGCAGATGTCACGGAGCCCGCATGCACTAAGGGCGGCGGTATCCAGACAATCGGCTTTCGACTACGGGTGTGGCAGGGGGCTTAAGGAACTCAGCGGCAACAACACACAGCACCTGACGGCACTTAGAGGATGTCAGGAGAAGGGTGATGATGCAACCACTCACAAAGCCCAAGACCCAACACACGCTCCCCAGGAGAATGCTTTCGGCTAAGTTGAAGGGTCGAGGGCAGAACTGGGTCCAGTTAAGGAGGTTGCTCAACAGGACCTGCCACATTTCGAGCTGAAGAACTGAGGGCGGCAGATTCACTCTTTCAGAAAGCATGGCTTAACATTCACTACAATGTCCGGGTTTATGACGTGGAACAGCTTGGTAAGGAGACATATAAAGGCGACGCTACGGTGCTTGCCTGCGCTACACAATGCAATCATCCTAACTTCACGGTGTGACCATGCACAAGTCGCAGCATACGCCAACACAGCACGAAATCGTTTCATGCGAAGCAACTCAAGCTGGATCTGCACATTGTAGCCGATGTGTCGTGAGAGCTTACGATCACGATTTGGATTGGGAAAGTCCTTGAGGTCGATCTGTATGGTCGGACGATTCGAACTTGGCACGCGGCTTCGACTGCCCCCCGATAGCAACGACAAGTCTCGTAGCGGAGGATGGTCTGGCTCTTTGCCTCGTAACATCAGCGAAGGAGAAGTCGTCGGCTGAGGAGGCTCTGGTTCTTCGACTTGTAGCACTGGTGAGGAAGAGGGCGAGGAAGAAGTCGTCGGCCGTGGATGCTCTGGCGCTCCAACTTGTAGCACAAGTGAGGGAGAGGGCGATGAAGAAGTCGTCGGCTGTGGATGCTCTGGTTCTCTTACTTGTAGCATACGCGGGGAAGAGGTAGTCGGCAATGCTTTCGGCTTGCTCGTTGCTGCAGACTTGGATTGTGTAGCAGGTAGCCGTGGGGATCGACTTCGATCTGGTCTGCCAGCAGACGCTCCAGGCGGCGGCACGACGACGAGCCTTCGGACCGGAGGTGGTGGCACGATGACGGGCCTTCGGACTGCAGGCGGTGGCACGACAGTAGGAACCCCTACTGGTCGCACACTGACGGGCCTTCGGACTGCAGGCGGTGGCACGACAGTAGGGACCCGCACTGCTTGCACACCAGCTTTCGGCACAACCACGGGAGTATGTGATTGTAACAAACGTCCGGCCGGCAGGGGTCTCGAAGACGAAGAAGCGTTTAGCACTGCTCTCTTCACTCTTCCAGGCAGCAAAGCCATTGCATTGCGCTGGTATCAAAACCTAGTGCCTACACTTTCTGCAGTCTCGGAGCTTCCCTTAACGCCTACAAGTCCTATTGTCAGTTGGGGTTCAGGGTTGTGGGGGTTTAGGATTTAGGGTTTAGGGTTTATGCCAGTTTATGGTTCAAGGTTCATGATGTAATGTTTAGGCATCCGAATGCCTACAAAAACAACACCATATGATGATGTTGTGTTTTTACCAAAAACTTATGTATAGGGATAGGCGCTTAAGCCAAACAGGGCCAATCCAGTGCAGCCGAGCAGAGTTGATTGCCAATGCATCTGGGCCGCGCACCTTCATTCCAAGGTGTGAGCGTGTGAGTGCGTGGCTATTGTCCTCTTTAGAGCACGCACCCATGCGTGACTGTTCGTAAAGTAGTAGGATGTATAGGGTTTTGGGTATAGGGTTAGATGCTTACGCTATGGGACTGATGTGCTTATGTATGTACTCCCATGTATATCCACCCCTATAAAAACATGTAAGCACTGTGAAGCTCAAATATAAGCCGAGTACATATCTATATAGGATTTTTTTATGCGGTATATAAAAGGAGTACATACAATGAACTAAGGAATATGGCAAATTTGCATATTCAATGGCTTTCAAATTGAAAATAATATCAGGGTGATGTAGATATGGGCATAGCCATATATATATATATATATGGTATATAGATAGACATGCATATTATATTATATATGCACATATTCCCCCCCCCCTCCTTCTGTAAAATTTGTAAGCTGTGTATATGGCTATGCCAGCCGTCTACACTGTAGTTAAAATAGTATTCACATACACAATCATGCGAATTCATTCAGCAATTCGCATAATCGCGTATGTGATTGCATAAATATGGTCACGATACACCTGACGAACGAATAAGTGTAATTGCCCAAGCATAAGATATACATGGTCATGGTATACACGACAAACGAAGAAGTGTACCTGCCTAAGCACAAGTGCTTCCACAGTTGCGACGCACTGACGCAATCCTTATCCAACTCTTTCCAGGAATCTTCAGTATTCAATCTTCGGGGCCAAGAGTTTTAAACCTCCTTGCTTAGCCACGAGAGGAGTTTTAAAACTCCTGCGATTCCCCGGAACTCTTTCCAGGAATCTTCAGTCTTCAATCTTCGGGGCCAAGAGTTTTAAAACTCCTTGCTTAGCCACGAGAGGAGTTTTAAAACTCCTGCCACCGCAGATTGAGGATTGAAGATTCCTGGAAAGAGTTCCGGGGAATCTTCAATCTTCAATCTTCGGGGCCAGGAGTTTTAAAACTCCTTGCTTAGCCACAAGAGGAGTTTTAAAACTCCCGGCCCCTAAGATTGAAGATTGAAGATTCCTGGAAAGAGTTCCGGGGAATCTTCAATCTTCAATCTTCAGTGGCAGGAGTTTTAAAACTCCTTGCTTAGCCACAAGAGGAGTTTTAAAACTCCTGGCCCTGCAGATTTTTGTCGGAGTCTTTAAGTATTTATTATTTCGTATTTTATGTATATCTATAGATATATATCCATATATATATATATATCCGGCTTCGAATATCGTAAACACGTCTCGACATAGAAAAGGGTATGAAACGGTAGGTTTTGGGGGGGGGTACCATATATATATATATATATATATATATATGGTTGTGCCCCGGCGGGCTCCCCCCCCCCTCCCGCCCCCCCAACCCCTGGGTGGTTGTGGGTTGGTTTTAGGGTTTAGGGTTTAGGTTTTCAGGGTTTTAGGGTTTAGGGTGTAGGGTAGGGTTTAGGGTTGAAGGGTTTAGGGTTTTAGGGTTTAGGGGTTTAGGGTTTAGGGTTTAGGTTTTCAGGGTTTTAGGGTTTAGGGTTTAGGGTAGGGTTTAGGGTTGAAGGTTTTAGGGTTTTAGGGTTTAGGGGTTTAGGGTTTAGGGTTAGGGGTTTAGGTTTAGGGTTTAGGATGGGTTTAGGGTTTAGTTTAGTGTTTAGGGTTTAGGGTTGGTTTACGGGAGACCGTAGACCCCGTAGACCATGGGGGCGGGATACCTAGGGGGGGTGGGGGGGGGGGGGCCGAGAACGCACAGCACACAACCATATGTCGGGCAGCGTGGGGCCACGCATTTTGAACTGCTCAGACCCAGACACTACGACATTTGTCAAGCCCAAGCGGTGCACGTTTGCCACAAGAGCCTGGCAGGCTGGTAGCACAAGGCATCTTAGAGTTGCACCGACGGCTTCAAGCACTGAACGAAACTGCAGACAAATGCAGACCAGTCCTTGCATCGGTCGCGGCGCAGATCGTTGGCAAACAGTGTGCCCGTGTTTCGCATGAGTTGACCGATGTACCTGACTTACCAAGCAAGCCTCATTCTACCTGAGGAAACGATCACACCATACACCCCACGTTGTCTTGCCACCAGGAGCTGCAGCCATGTCCAAGACCACCTGACGGGCTGCAAAGGATAGTGAGCATTAGTGAGCAGCCTGACCACGGACGCAAAGACGCAATTGCATGGGTTGGTTCACCTTGCGGACTCTTTCTTGCACTCAGTTGCAGCTCCTTGCTCGTGGGTCTGTGCTGCGTGAGGCAAGTTGGGGCGCAGCATTGATGCGTCGCATCAACGATGCAGAAACGGACGTCTTTCATCGCTGAGTCACTGAGACACTGCTGAAACACTGCAAAATGTCCGACTCTGTCGGGGTGAGGGCTTTGCTCACCGAAGCTGTACGCGTGATGTCGACTCCGCAACTTCTTCATGGGCTGCATGGGCTTTGCAGATCCGTCCACGAGGAAGAAACATCCTTGGCAACTTCTCGCAACTTCATGTCATTCAGGTGACGAAGGTGACTGTGGAAGCCGGCGTCAACTCAAAAGTAATCGAGTCTCCAAAGTCTTGGCTGGCGAGAACATTTCCCCACGCAAGTTGTCCTGCATCACCTGCCGCATCCGTACGGAAACACGGCAAACGGTCATCACCTGCAAGTCTCCTTGCGGCACTCGCCGGGCGAAAGACCCTTGGACAGCAAGTACGCCAGCTTTGTGACCTTGACATGCACCCACAACATCGTACGCGACCCAACGTGATTTGCAAAAATCACCAATGCCCTGAGCTTCGATCTGTGGCCTCAGCTGTCATATCATGGCCAGGAATCACCTTGGTGAGAACGGCGAGTGGAGAGTGATGCTGTGGTGGCAACGACAAAGGCATGGTGGGACATCTCAATTGCAAAGCACAGTGAGTTGGGAATGCTGTCAGCAGTTGACTGCGATCAAGTCACGCCACATTCTGCGAATGCACGGCCCACGGCATACTTCTCAAGTTCCACGTTGCCATGTATACACTGAGAGCACGCGACTACCACAATTCCGGCAGTCACCCTGCAAGGTTTGACGGCAAAGCTGTCACACAGACTGCTTTTGCACAGAGCGACTATGCAGATAAGAATTCCGACTCAGGCAGTAAGCTCCACGCAGCTTCGAGCAAGCTGCCAGAAAGCTGGTCTTCCGCGCAGGCGCATTTCCACAACCTACCATGAACCACAGTTAAATGCAATAAATGCAAAAAAAAAACAGCTGGAAAAGCCTCGACTCTTCAAAACAACTGTTTGTTAAACAATCAAAAGAAAATGCTCTTTGCTTTCTGGTAGGCCATATAGTAGAAGAATCACGCCCTTAACGTTCCCAGCAGTGGCCACGCTGTCCTCAGCTGCTAGCCACAATCACTTAAACTATGGCAGAGGGCACTTCTTGACACAATCTAACGCCTGACCCAACTGAGTCCTACTGCATCGGCCTACTGATGCTTGTGGTCTTCCATGCCAGGTGGTGACTCTGTGAGAGCATGTGAGAGCATGTGAAGGCACTTCTGAAGACAAGCAGCAAAGAAGCTGTCAGAAAAGCCTGGCAGGGCCGAGAGCCATTCAAGATGCTTCTCTGTCCTGCCCCGCACAGCTCAGCGTATGATGTCCCAAGCAACAACCGGTACAATATAGTCTTTGATGCGAATCCGAAGTTGCAGCCTGAGAGCTTCTCATGCTTCTGAGGATCTGAATTTGGCGGTACGGGTGAAGTCTTAAATGGTTGTTAAAGTTGTTTCTATGTCTCCCCTCGGTGGACAGTCGAACCGGCCTCAGAGCTGAGTCTGACCATCTGAGCTTTTGTAAGTTGGCAGCAAACGGTTTGGGGGGCTTTTTCGGGAGCTGAAGCAAAAGAACACCAAAATGGCCCAATCACATCCCGCAAACATGATTTTGAAGGGGCTTTTTTGGGAGGCCTCAAAACAGCCTACGGCACTACGGGAACATACGGGAACCCTGGCCTTATGGCTGGGGTGCCCCGCAACAGACATTTGCTAGCCACTCCGCAAGTGCCCAGTGCGAGTCGCAGGACTGTCGTAGCATGTCTAAGCCGCTTGTAGCCTCATTGATGCAGCTCCGAAAAATCTTCCCAGCACGACTTTATTTTAGGCAGTGACTTTGTGTTTATAGAAACAGCAGCCGATCTCCAGTATACCCTTAGACTAGCTTCGTCAATGGAGAGAGCGCGACGGGACTCATTGGCTTGCTCCCAACCTGTGTGCGCTGATGTGCTATAATTGAAGCCGCAAGTCTGTGGGATTCTGTGGGCATATTGCGCTTCGGCCTGGAACTACGCAAACAACAATGACCTCCGTCACAGTCATCAGATGTACCTCGCTGTCAATTGTGGCATGTTCATCGCAGTGCACCGGGACACAAACTGCTGTCGCCACGGAGCACCCGGAATCTGCCCTTCGGCGGATTGCAGAGCAATCGATGGTGAATTTTGACCTGACAGCACGAACTGACAGGGCATTTTTAGATCAAGCCCGAATCCAGCAACAGGAGGCATAGTGGCAAGCATCCAAGCATCAACACCGGAGTGCACAGGATTTCTGAACGGCACTCGCACTGCGATGTCGCTACGTGCCCATTGTTGACTGGAGCTTACGCCGTTTATATACTGCTTCCGATAAACTCCAACCTGCATTGTAGCTCCTTGGCTTAGCGTCTGTGCGTAAGCGCAGCTTGATGAGCGAAGTGACTTTGATGATTCTAAATCTTCAAAAGAACGGCTGAGCCTCCGTTCCAACGACGGCCAATTCCGGAAAATTGGGCGAATCAAACGCTGTCAAAGCATTTGCATCCTCGGCAAGTCAAAGTCTGCAACGCTTCAGGAATTTTCACATGGTGTGTCCTTGACTACATGGCGAAGATTCCAATAGCCGTCTACTGATTTTGTACCGCAGTGCATGTCGCAGGCGGATCACGGGCAGAATTATCTCTAAGAAGGGCACCACTACTCCGTGAGATTTTCTCCCTCTCAAACAGAGTTTTTGGCATGAGGCGCCTTTGGAGCGGAGTCGCGTGTGGAGCACACTGCGCACTTTCCCGCTTCCACCCACCTGAGCCTCTCATTCCCCGACATGGCTCCATGCTGGCTTCCTGCAGGGCACGTGCACGCATGGTGCAGTCATGGCACCATGACATCGTGCCCATCGCCCATCATGTGCTAGGCATGTGCTGTCGAATGCCCACAGGTGAGCCGCTTGTCGCGCGTCGAAGCGCTTATTTCATTGGACACGTACGTTCCCAACCTGCCTTCTCAACTCTTGAACCTCACGTTTGTGGCATTCCAACACGTCACCATTAAACTCTGGTCGTACCCGCATTTAGGCCACGACGACTGAAGGGGTCAAACCCTGTTTTGCGGCTGAAGGTCCATCTTCTTGCAGCGATTTCCTCGAAAGAGCTTACCTGGCACCGCAGAGCACGGCAGAATACAGTGGCATTTGGCGGGTCTCTGGCAACTGTAACGAGAGCCCGATCCGACACCACGCAGCCATGTTACTTCCAAAGAATATGCAAACCTCGGTGAGGTCTGCTCGACCTGCTATGATGACGGCGCGCAGCAAGTTGGATCGCGCGTCCTTTGCAACGGGCACCGTGCTCCGGGTCATGGTTTCGACATTGCTCTATGCTGGCTGTTGCTTCCTGCTGGCCAAGCAACTGTCAGCGGCTCCTCCATTGGAAGCTGGGAGCCTCCGGGTGTGCTGTAATTAAGATGAAAGGAGCACCCCCAAACGCAGCGTAAACGGCGTACACAGGCCCAGCGCGGGCCCATCAGCAAGTGCCCAATGTGCACCATCAGCTTGGATTTTGGGCCGTGTGCTTTGTCAGCTTGTTGGCATTCTGTAGGGGGTCAGGCATGACGAGGCAGGTTCATTCCAGGGATTGGGGTTTTGGGCTTGCGGTTAAATCACGCCCTGGTTAGAAAACGTTGATTTGAACACGATCTTTGACTTAAGCTGATTCGGAAGTCAATCAATGGAAGGGGAATCCCATTGTTGAGCCCCTCGGACTGCCTGGGAACCTAATACCCCACTGAACATCCGACTGAACCATCCATCATACCTTCACATACCTTCACCACCCCGTTGGCTTCTGAGCTCTCGCCACCCCAATCGAGCGGTGTGGTCGGCCCCTGTGGCTGTCTTGCTGCTTCCAAATTGGCTGGCTGTTGTATATTGTTGTATGCTGTGGTTGCCCAACTGTCTCCCGGCCACTGCTGGCTGTGTCTGGCCCTCCTTCGGCTCAACCGCGTTGGAATCAGGGTGGCTGTTTTCCCCCGCCTTGTCATGCTGGGCCTGGCTTTGTGTTGACGGCCCGCATTTTGAGCTTCAGGATCCACAGACCTTGATGTAGTACTTGGCATTGCGCGGAGATTTGGCGTCTGCGTATTGTACCATCGTCCATCTCGCGATCACTTCGGGCTCTTGCTCTCGCTCTTCGTCTCACCTGTCTCCGATGTGCAGCTTTCTTTCTCCACTATTATTTGATGTTGAAGGCGGTGGTGACGGCGATGTAGTTCGTGGTGTCGACGATGTGGTGGGGCAGCTTGATTTGGGCTCGGCTTGTGTTGGATCACTCCGATTGCCTTCGTCTTCCCCTCTTCACGTTCCGCCGCCTGCTCCTCGTTCTCCTTGGCTGCCTGTTGACGATCCGTTCTCTCGGCAGTACACGAAGAAATTTTTCGGTGATCTTCCTGCATTGCCGTTTCCAACTTTTGCTTTTCCGGGTCAGACGAGGATTAATTTCCTTCACCTCCTGTATGCAGCGTTCGCAGCGTGTGCCCCGGTGCCTTTGTCCCTTGAAGAAGAAGAGAGGGAGGGGGAGCGAGGGAGGTGGGGGAGGGAAGGGGGAGGAGGGGGAGGAGGAGGAGAGGGGGAGGAGGGGGAGGAGGATGGGGGAGGGGGAGGGAGGGGGGGAGGGGGGAGGCGGGGGAGGAGGGGGAGGAGGGGGAGGAGGGGGAGGAGGGGGAGGAGGGGGAGGAGGGGGAGGAGGGGGAGGAGGGGGAGGAGGGGGAGGAGGGGGAGGGGGGAGGAGGGGGAGGAGGGGGAGGAGGGGGAGGAGGGGAGGAGGGGAGGAGGGGGAGGAGGGGGAGGAGGGGGAGGAGGGGGAGGGGGGAGGAGGGGGAGGAGGGGGGGAGGGGGAGGAGGGGGGAGGGGGGGGAGGGGGAGGAGGGGGAGGGGGGGGAGGAGGGGGAGGAGGGGGAGGAGGGGGAGGAGGGGGAGGAGGGGGAGGAGGGGGAGGAGGAGGGGGAGGAGGGGGAGGGGGGGGAGGGGGAGGGGAGGGGAGGAGGAGGAGGGGGAGGAGGGGGAGGAGGGGGAGGAGGGGGAGGAGGGGGAGGAGGGGGAGGAGGGGGAGGAGGGGGAGGAGGGGGAGGAGGGGGGAGGAGGGGGGGAGGGGGGGGAGGAGGGGGAGGAGGGGAGGAGGGGGAGGAGGGGGAGGAGGGGGAGGAGGGGGAGGAGGGGGAGGAGGGGGAGGAGGGGGAGGAGGGGGAGGGGGGGAGGAGGGGGAGGAGAGGGGGGGAGGAGGGGAGAGGGGGAGAAGAGGGGGAGAAGAGGGGGAGAGGGGGAGAGGGGAGAGGGGGAGGGGGAGGATGAGGGGGAGGAGAGGGGGAGGGGAGGAGGGGGGAGGGGAGAGGGGGAGGGGGGGAGGAGAGGGGGAGGAGGGGGAGGAGGGGGAGGAGAGGGGGAGGGGAGGAGAGGGGGGAGGAGGGGGGAGGAGGGGAGGAGGGGGGAGGAGGGGAGGAGGGAGGGGAGGGAGGGGAGGGAGGGGAGGGGAGGGGGGAGGGAGGGGGAGGGGGGGAGGGGGAGGAGGGGGGAGGGGGGAGGAGGGGGAGGAGGGGGAGGAGGGGGAGGAGGGGGAGGAGGGGGAGGAGGGGGAGGAGGGGGAGGAGGGGGAGGAGGGGGAGGAGGGGGAGGAGGGGGAGGAGGGGGGGAGGAGGGGGGAGGAGGGGGGGAGGGGGGAGGAGGGGAGGAGGGGGAGGAGGGGGAGGAGGGAGGAGGGGGAGGAGGGGGAGGAGGGGGAGGAGGGGGAGGGGGGGGGAGGAGGGGGAGGAGGGGGAGGAGGGGGAGGAGGAGGAGGGGGAGGAGGGGGAGGGAGGGGGAGGAGGGGGAGGAGGGGGAGGAGGGAGGGGGGAGGGAGGAGGGGGGGGAGGAGGGGGGAGGGGGGGGGGGGGGGGAGGGGGGGGAGGAGGGGGAGGAGGGAGGGAGGAGGAGGAGGGGAGGAGGAGGGGAGGAGGGGGGAGGAGGAGGGGGGGAGGAGGGAGGGGGAGGAGGGGGGGAGGAGGGGGGGGAGGGGGGAGGAGGGGGAGGAGGGGGAGGGGGGGGGGAGGAGGGGGAGGAGGGGGAGGAGGGGGAGGGGGGAGGAGGGGGAGGAGGGGGGGGAGGGGGAGGAGGGGGAGGAGGGGGAGGAGGGGGGAGGAGGGGGGAGGAGGTGGAGGAGGGGGAGGAGGGGGAGGTAAAACTCGCAGAACCTCAAGGATTCCCATCCTAAACCCTAAACCCCAGAACCCCAGAACCCCAAAAGCTCGGAGAGAGCTTCGGGAATAGAGTTGAACTCACTTGCTCTACAGGCCCACCAAGACCCAGGTGCGCACCCCGACCCGAGACCCTAGACCCTAGACCCTAGACCCTAAACCCTAAACCCTAAACTTTAACCCTAAACCCTATACCCCTTAAAAAGCCCTGTAGGCCCATTGTGGGACGCCAAAACCATGCGAACCCCAACCCTTGTGATTGTAAAACCCCATATCCGCATAGAATCTAAACCCTGAACACCAAACCTCTACCTCCCAAACCTCAAAGCCTGAACCCTAACCTGCAGGTCTTAAGATTTTAAAGGATTTGGGCTCAGGGGTTCCATGCCGGGTCCCCCAAGCACTTAGCCCGAACCCCAGGGGGAGGAGGGGGAGGAGGGGGAGGAGGGGGAGGAGGGGGAGGAGGGGGAGGAGGGGAGGAGGGGGAGGAGGGGAGGAGGAGGGGGGGAGGAGGGGGAGGAGGGGGAGGAGGGGGAGGAGGGAGGAGGGGGAGGAGGGGGAGGAGGGGGGGAGGAGGGGGAGGAGGGGGAGGAGGGGGAGGAGGGGGAGGAGGGGGAGGAGGGAAGGGCAGAGCACAGACAAGGAAGTGCTCTCCTTTCGGGGCTGCCAGTTCAAATGTATTTTCCACAGCTACATGAGCTCCTGGGCTTCCAAGATGTTCCAGCACCCAGGAGCATGTTGTGTCTCGGATCCTCGCCGCTACCTCCCCTACCGACGATGCTTGTGAACACGCAAATGGCGTAGTAAGTCTTTTGCAACCTGGGTGCCTGTGAGAATAACTGGTTTGGAAAGTTGCTCCAGCATGAAGCTGAGCGCTGATGCAGTGTAGGCCATTGTATCCTAAGACATCAGAGGCACAACCCACTTTTGCATGCCATTGCATGACCATCAAGCCACAACAGCCGACTTCGCCACATTGCTTCATCGGTTGCGGTGATTGTCATTTGCAGTCTGAGATTCCGTACCATGTAAAACCTTGGGTCTGATCAGGCCAATGAAATGCCATGCTCCACTGTTGTGCTGTGCGACATGTCGTGCTCCTTAATACAGGTCGGCCAACGACAAACCCGTCAAAGTCGTAGTAATGGCGCTCTATACATGAAGCCATAGTGCACCAGTCTTCTGGGCACCTCAGCAGAAGGGCAGCCTCACTGTCGATCGCAAGCTGAGGCATCGGAAGATGGGAAATGTTGCCTCGTCATGCTGCGTTCCGGGACGCATGTCGGCGGAGTCCAAGAGCGGATCAAACTCATCAAAGAAGCACTGGGGAAATAGCTCCTTCAGTACGGGCAGATCTTGGGGCTACCCTACAAACCCAGCCTGTGCAAGGGTGGGTGCCAGGAAATGCCACAACAAAGGGATGTGAAGGAAGTAAGGCTAAACCCACAACTCTGGGATCCTGATTGAGCTCATCCACGGACTGCAGCCGCCTCCTCAGCGCGCCAGGAATTGGTCCCAAGCTCCCATCTTCACCACGGGCCATTCCAATGGTACCACCAGTGTACCTTTCACACGACACGCGTCCTTGTCACGGCCTGGAAGGGTTGAGCTGTTTTGTGCCGTAACATGCAGCTGCGCAGCAATATGAGAACCTTCCTCAGTGAACTCCTCGGTTGAGGTCCCGCATGATCCCGCTTAAGGCCAAGCAAGCTTCAGAGCTTCCGGGGTCAAGTTGGACACAAATCACATAAATCACCACAGCAGAGCATAGCAGAGAGTAAACGGAAAACATCATGTGCCACCGCATATCCCGCGCGGGTTCAGCAGCTGAGGGCTGTCCGCAGTGCTCGGGGACACTGGCGACTCATAGCCAGCACCAAGCGCAGCCATGGCTTAATTCTACAGCAGCTTTACAGAGATTTGTGAGTTTCTTTCAGTTCGACCTTTGCACGTTAGAACAACGCACCGGCTTTTTGTTGAAGTCCATGACAAAGCAACTTTTCCCAGTCATGATCAAATTTTGTTCTGGTGCAGAGCTAAGAAGGCTTCCTCTTGTCTTCATCTTTAATTAAGCCGTACCGGTCGACTCCAGCGGCATGCTCCGAGTCGATAGCACCCTGACAGAAGCGCCTCATCCTGTTGGGGGGCCAGCGCCATCACGGGGATAAACGAGGACGCACTCCTTTGCATTGAAATCATGCAGAGCAGCTGCTGAAGGCCACGTGGGCTGATCATGTGTTCGCATCGTACGACATTCAAGTTTTTTGACAGCATGGTTTAGCATGACAGACTACTGCTGCCGTGACCGTCACAACGAGAAGCAAAGACTTTCCGGTGTGCGGGCAAGGTTCTGAATCATGTAATGGCCACCCAGATATTCAGGCGTCGCTCCAACGGGAACTTGGGATTGATACACTTTCAATCCAACCTTGGTCCAGTTTCCGACTGGATCCACTTGAACCTCCAGAGGGAACATTGGGAGCGTTGCATGCATTCCTGGCCATCATGAGTCACTAGCAGTTGTCGGCAACTTGGTGCTTTGGTGCCTTTCGCTGTGTGAGCGCTTGCATCAAGGACGAACGCCGTGCCTGCCAAACAATCACTTCCATGCAGACTGTCGACGAAGCTATCTCCCCTGAATCCGCCGAACCCCAAGCGGGGCCCCCCTTTCAACCCCTGCCCAAGCTACCTTCTTCAAAAGTGAGGTTGTGAGGTCTCCAGCGCATGCCCTCACCACCCTCCCTGTGCCCCCCTGCACGTGCACGGGCCGCCGCCTCTCCTGCACCCCCGACCCCCCCCACCCCCTACACTGTGTGCAAGGCCTCCCATGCCCCAACCCCCCGGCCCCCCCCCCCCCCCCCCCTGCCCCCCCTGCACCCCGTCAAATCAGTCCGCTCTCACCGCCCTCCCTACACGCGCCTCCCTTGCACTTGCTGTGGATGAGTGTGGTTGGCAGTGGATTGGTCGTTTGGGGGGTTCAGCGGCACTGGAGCCATGATTTCCTGGTTGCAGGCAACGCCAAACTGCCTGTTAGCGTTGTGCCTAAGAGTCCGTCTGAACTGGATGGTCTGTCAAGTGGTCCCATGGCTCTGTAGACAGGGGCTTTTTATGCCAAGACTATGCCAAGCCTGTTGCAAGAAAAACTTGGGTGTCGCTTCACTTGTTCAGGCAGAAAATATGAAAGGTTAAGATTTACTTATTCTGGGGGTAGCTGTTCAGTTTGGTACTTTGCGTCCCGCTCTAAACTACATAAACTTACAAGTGGCCCAAGTTTTGACTGATGCACACAGCACCTCGAGCTAGGAGGCACGAGGGAACATCATAAGTTGAAACGCTTGCAACGGTCCGTAAACGCCGCAACGAAGGCCTGCAACTGACACACCCGCCCGGCTCTGCAACAGCTGTCACATGTGCTCAAGCACTTTGCGGGGCCTTGAGCGTGTTCGTTCGCAACGTCAAAGGACGCTGCTGTTCGTTGGCCTGACGACGCACGCCGAGCACCCTCCTAGCTCCTAGTTGCTGAACAGCTGGCTGGCATCGACGAGCATCTGCCTCAAAGAATTTGATGGCTGTCTCCGGGCTAAACATCTGCAGAAAGTACTCGGCCAGCTCTTCGGAATATCCGAAGTACGTCGAGCAGTTTGAGACGAGGCCCTTGAAGACCTGTGTATATATCTTGTGCATTATTGCTGAGCGCACCAACATCTCCCAACCTCTTCGCGTGTGCGCTTCTCGCCCAGTTCTTGCCTGGGCACAGTTCCGAGCAGTGACCAGGCGTACGCGACTTTTGCTTTAAGGCTATGTCACTCTACCGAGCGGTGATAACGCTGTGCAATTGAGGCACGCTTTCCTCCACTGGCCTAATAGGCCAGCATCATCCTGAATCTCCTGCTTCAGCGCATTAAGATCCGTCTGTTTGCCTCACAGGCAGTCATCTTGCGCACGGTTGAAACACCAAAGGACCAGACTACGCTGAGCAAGCCGAACATTCAGCTTGCACAACACCAGAACCTATAAAGCCAAACTGCTGCTTGGCAGGTTTTACCATCTGACAAGGGAGATGAATCAAGGCAGCCTGCATGATAGGATCCAAGGAGACAAACAACGACAAGGTGCTAAGAACATCGTCAACAAACAACTTGAATGCAGGCGAAAATAGGCGAAACATACGTGATAAGAGACAAAGAGACAAAAAAAAACAACCCAGGCCTCAGGCAATCCCATCAGGTACTGGCAGATAGGGAGACAACAGGGAGCAGTGGCCGAGACAAAGCACCCGAAATCCCGAGGCATCCAGCATGATGGGCGAAAACCCAACCGTGGCATCCAAAAGGTGGAACAGGGTCGCCGGCAACGCAGTGCCGTTGGTGACTGGCATTGAGCAGTATGCCGCCTCTTGGGCTTCCTGGCCTTGATCTTGCTGCGGCGTCCACGCAGGCTGTGCATCTCCAGATGCTCTCTGCCCGCTGCGCTGGCTCCCCTGCGTTTTGGCAGCGTCGCCGCCATGCAGGCCGCATTTGGCTGCGGACTACGTACCTGCGTCCCTGCGCCAATGGCCCCCACTCGCCCGCCTGCATGGCGATTGTTCGGCTGGCAGCGCTACCGCAGCCCGTGCTGCCTCTAAAAGAGGGGCTTCCGGACATTTCCGGCAGGGTCTCCGCGCTCAGTGAGGGGAGCGTCGACACCTGCGCTTGTTGAGGGCCGCATTTTCCCTCGCGCTTTTTGAGAGGGATTTCGTTGTCTTATAAGTGGGCTGGCCCGGTCTCTTGGACCCTGAGACTCTCCCAGGTTCAGGTCTTTTGTACAGTCTTCCCGGTAGTCATCCTGTTACCTCTCCTTTTTGGTTTCACCTGACCCGAAAGGCCAGACGGCCAGCGACTTTGCGCGCTAGCTGTGTAAAGTTCACCACCAACGAAGCATGAGCCATTGAAGGGCGTACAGCACAGGAGCGTCGGAAATCGCTGGAGCTGCAAACGAAATCACACAGCTGGGCGTGTCAAGGAGCTCTTTGTTCTTACTATCTTGAACATTCTTGTAGCCATCTCAACCAAACTGTGTCCGACGGGCCTTCAGCCACTCGCGCCAGGATGCGGGAGCCAAGCTGGGCGTCGCCACCCTGTCTGCATGACAACATTGTCTCCATATGTCTGCCTCTGACGAAAAAGCAGTGGGACTTGCACCGCGTTACAACACGAAAGGCATATCACAGTGTTTCCCTTGTGTTCTCCTTCCGCTTCGGCCTCGTTGGTCTCACCTAGCCCGTCAGCCTCTTCCATTGGCTCACCGCCATCGTCATCCCCCTGCCAACTGAGTGACGAATGAGAAAGTACTCTGCTCAGCATGCACCTTAAAACCTCCTGAATTGCGCAGGCTGACTCCTGCATGTGCACCCACAAGCTCAAGGAGCCAAGGAGAAAGAACCGTTGCTCAACCATGTTCAACTGCCCCCTGTCCAAGCAACAAAACATAACCCGGCCATGCCCGTAATCACGCAGCCACACTGAAAAGGTCCTGTACTTGATATTAGGAGGCGATGCATCCTTGCTGCTCCGACTTGAAGCAATGGCAAACCTCTCTCCTTAAACCCTTCGACAGCAGTGTTGTGTTGCTTCGGGACTGGAACTGAAGGGTCGAATCCTGAGCAGATGCCCACGCTGCTACTGAATCATTATTCAGACAATACATCCAATGAAGCGCACCCAGATGTTCGCACCACATGTCACATGCAAAACACGGCTAAAAACGTCGGGACCCCCCCTGAGTTTGATAGGTTGATATGGTCTGACGATGTCTGACGTCAGGTCCGCAGTTTGAATCGCCTTTGACGCCCGATCATGAGGAGAAATTAAAGAGATAGTGCCGACTGCTCCAAAACGTGTTCATAGGATCTTCGGAGAATCACAGAGACTCCCAAGTCTCGGACAGTCTCGGACCGGCGGTCTCGGACAAACATCTGACCTTTTCTGACCTGTTGGAAATGGCATAGCTGCTACAGCACGTGCAAGCATGTGCTAGCGAGCATGGTCACAGCATCATGGTTTTGTTGACAGATCAACGAGAGCCATGACAGTCTCGGCGAGGGCAACAAGCCGCATGAGCAATGACTAATCAATCTCGTACTGGTCGGAAGTCTAAGACCAACTCGTAGCGGTAGGGATCGGTAGGGCGTGCTGTGCTGTATGGGTGTCCCGGGATGACACTGGTCAAGCCTACGAGTAGTTTAAGTTCAAGCACCACTCCTGCAGAGGACGTGCCGGTGCTCATTGCTCCCGAGCGCAGCTCAGATGAGGACTGGGTACCGACACGGCCAACGCTCGCGGGATGACTGTCACGATCGTTGCTCAAGACTCTCCTGATTTTGACCGGGGTGACTCTCCGGCAACGGCCACCTAGCACATCTTTGCCTGAATTCCACAGCGGGGAAAGACGCCGCAGTTCACACAACCCCATAATATTCGAACGTACGTTCATGTGCGTTCCCTTCGCGGCTCCGTTCACGCATAAAGTTCACCAGTCAAGCTAAGCAATCATAGCACTTGAACCGGATGTGATTGCACGAGTCGCGCTCGGAAGTTGCCTCAATGTCGTCTTCCTCTTCCAAAGCATCATCTGGTGCATCTTCATCTTCGCTGCCGATACCAAGCCTCAGGCTATAGGCTGAAAGCGGCGAGGCTACTGTCCACGGCCCAGCTACGGCCCACTGTTCAGATACTGTCCAGGAGTCCAGATGCAGCTCAGCAGCTCTTCTCCATCGGTCTGGCTTCCCAGCCAGTCCTCGAATTTCAGCTGAGCTGCACTGGAATCCCAACTTGGTTGTGCTAGGCCCCCCGGTCACAAGTGAGTGTGAGAAGTCGCCAGCCTCCTCTGCTTCTGCTTTGGCCTTTGCCTTTGCTTTTGCCTTTTTCTTGGCTCCCACTTTTCTCTTCATTGCCTCAAAAGCCGAGTGTACTGAGACAGAAAGTATCTGTGTTCAGTCTGTTCAGCCCCTCCTTCGCAGTAGCAGTCGCCAGGTCCGCCCAGGCGGGGGGGCGACAAGAAGGGCATCTGTCTCACGCTTCTAGATCTGCTATCTTCAACTACATGGTCATGTTGAGATCAGTCCAGACCGTCAGAATACAGCATCACAAACTGCTATCAAGATATAGGTTAAGTGACCTGCTTGATTTGGCTGGCAAATGGCAAAGCCTTATGTGCACTTGAAACACCTGCCCGGGAACCGAGGTCAAAACGGTCTTTTTAAGAGTCAGCCAACCTAGTGTCAAACTGCATCGGAGTTGCCGTGGTTTTGAATGCTACTTCTAATGTGAAAACGGGATGTGCTGGGGGTTGGCGACAACTTGAGGCTTGAGGACCCATCCTGAATCCTTTATGAAACTGTAAATTTCTGATGCGGGCGGGCTGACATCACCATCAAACCACAGGATAGCTCCCTTGGGTGAACTTGGGCTTCAACCTCTGACTCACAAATTCGAGATCTCCCTCTCAAGGCTTTCACCAAAGCCTCAGCCACTCTTAAGCCATTCTTAAGCCACGCCTTCCTTGCTTTTGCACGAACAAACCCACCCTGCCGAGTACTGCCGATGCGATTTTCATGGGTCCTTTGATTTGGGAATATTTAGTGGCAGTGGACTCTAGGTCACGAGACTCTCCTAAACGGTGACCTTCAACAACCTCCGAGAACTTACCAATAGAACAGCTTAACTTAGAAACGAGCACAAGGTTTTCTACACGCAGCGTTTCCGGAAATTCTGGTCCAGAGGCAAAAGCCTGAAGCCAACGCATGTCAATGGCTATAGGAATGACGAGGAATGCTAGCGCCGGAACCATGAAATACATCACGAGAAAGACAGGCCACATTGGAAGCGGTTTTTGTGAAAGTGACCGCAAGCGTTCGTGAACAAACACAGGACCTGCGGATGCTGACAATGTCGGCATGGGCCTGGTGCTGGATGGCCCTAATGCTTCCCAAGCAGACGACACCATCGTTGCCAGAGGCCCGAGGCCATCGTACGTTTTCAGACGGCCCAGCGTGTCTGGACCCGGAGTCGCAGTTGGTGCACTCTCTGCATTCCCTTCCTCCATGCTTACGAGGCTTAGTACTGCTTTTGGGGATACAGGCTCCCAGTTCCAAGCTGTAGCGTTGATCAGCAGTCGAGGGAACAATCCTGCATTTCTGGCCAGGAACATGTGAGCAGGGCGGGAGGCACCCATGCTGGCCTCCAAGCGATGCCGCAAGGCTTCCACGTGTGCTGGGCCGCAGATCACAAGAACGTGCTCCGGATCTGGCTGTAACGGATTGGAAAAGGAGCGCCACTCCTCGAGGTCGCAGATCCTTTGCACCGGCTTTAGCGTGTTTGGTTCGTTTGGCTCGAGCGTCCAGCGCAAAGCCGCACCAATTCGTGCTGCATCCAACTCAGCTCGGCGCTGCAGTTGCTGCGTTAGGGAGGCTTCAAGCAAGGCCTCGCCGTCACCGAAACTTCTTCCAGCTCCGCCATTCTTGTGCTGACCAGCGAGGCGCTGTTCCAGGCCTAGCAGAATCTGATAGGCCATAAACTCATCTCTTTCCTTGGACATGCAAGTTGCCAAAGTGGGTTGGTTTGGAATTTAGCCTTGTCAGCGATGTAGACTCGTTTAAAGGACGTGCTGAAAAGAAACGCTGAAGGAGGGTTGTGGGACGTGTCGTGGGTCAAGAACGCCTTCAGAAGAGGCTTACAAAGAATCGCCATATTTAGAGACCTGACAGCTTCAGTGTGGTGGTCTGCAAACAATCTCACTGTCCTAGTGTGGACGCAATACTGCGTCTCGGTGCTTGCAGTGCACCAAACATGCCCGGACCGGCACAGCGCCAGCCCTGATTCCTAAATTCAACCTGAGCCACCTTAGCCTCCCAACTCCTGACGCGTGAATTTCATGAATTTCACCAGGCTTCTTCGAGCATGACTTCATGCAAGATGGGGCAATCTGTAAGCAGGTGTTCTCTCCAAGCTGTGACGCATGTCGTTGGAGCCACTACGCCCCAGTGCTTCCTAGAGAGCTGAGCACCACAGAAGCAGACATGAGGCATTCAGCTAGACTAATAGATGGACCCTGTATGTAATAGCATAACATGTGGCCTGGTTCTGAACGTTTACACAAGTTTACACAGGTTTACACAGGTTTACACAGGTTTACACAGATTTACGCAGATTTACACAGGTTTACACAGGTTTACACAGGAGCGACTCTATTTCAACAACATGCCACCTCGATCGTAGCAGCTGTCCAGGATGCAGGGAAAGGCTCTGCGCCAAACGACGGCGTGTTGTGAGCTGTTCGCGATCTATTGGAGTTAACTTCTTGTTGTGGCCATCTGCCCACCTCAATTCGCCATCACCATAAGCACATCATCTCTGTGACACACATACATGAATAAAGGGACATTTCAGGACTACACGGACTGTGTGAAGATGTGTGACTTCCTGATACTTTCTGCAGCTCGGTGGGCACCTCAATGCTTCAGCACATTCTGCAGCAATACTTGGAGACGGCTCTGGCCTGCAGCGTCGGTGTGTGACAGACAAGCTGACCGCGACATACCACGACTGTGACCGTGATGTGACCGCAAGATATCAAAACTTTCGAACATGCACATGGTAGATGCAAATCCAAATGTACAGCAAATCAAAATGCAAATCAGATTCAACCAGCTTCGGGCTGAGGAGCATTGCTTTCAAGGAAGCGAGATCTTGTCTGTCGATTTCAAGGAAAATAGCCGCCGGCTGGAATGCCTGCACTCATAGAGTCATAGATAAAACTCTGGGTCTCAGCTGGAAGCTGAAAAGTCAATCGTATACACATCCCAGGCCTCCAACAAACACCGCAAGGTCTGAGCACCCTGGCGGCTTTCGTGGGATATGCCCGCCAGTAGCAAGCGCCAGTGCTGCAGGGCTAAAGCCGCCAGCTGGACCATGAGCTGCTGTCAAAGTGAAGCAAGACTTCAGTAACTTCAGTACTGTAGCAGTGCGATTTGTGTCGGAGCCGAAGCAGCCACCTGCATGAACAACCGATGCGCAAACCATCAAAAGTTTGAATCAAGGCAGCTTAAAGTCAGGTGGCTTTGTTGAGACCGTGATGACGAGGGAATCACATCGTGCACAACTCACACGACATCATGGCCACCATATCTGCCAAAATACATAACATCTCCTGACGTTCTTCAAGATGTTCCAATGTATTAGTAACTAGTATGTACAGCAATGTACTGCAACACGAGCTGCGACAATGATGGTGCAAATGTGCAGTGTGCCTAAGGGCAACAGAACAGCCACCGCGTCTCTGACACAGGCTGAGCTGCACATTGCCAATTCGTTTAATCAGCAATTCGTGAAACTTTCAAGTGGTAGGCCTGGCTCAATGAGAAGTATCGGGGCCAGGTGGGCAGTGCAAGTAGTGCGTGGGACTGCAACACTATATGGTGACATCTGGCAACATTAACAAGTTGAACATAAGGAGAAAAGCAAACGCGGGCTCACTTCTTTGGTGCCTGAGGCAGCCATCATATTCATGTTCAGACAGTGCACGGTTTGCCAATTGCAAGCACACAGCACTTCTTGGCTGCTGAAATGCATCAAGCTTCAAGGTGCATTGTCAATTGTAATTGGCGAGCCGGGCCCTTTTGGTCTGCTAACCCCGGTGTCTCGTTTCGATGGTTTTGGGGCAGTGACGTAGGCAGTCTTCTTGCAAGTTTCTTTAGCCGTGCTGTGCCGTGCTTTCGCAGCTTGGCTCCCAGCACCACGCATTCTGTGTGGACCAAACTAACCTGGCAAGCAAGCTGATGATCTTAAAGCTGGTGCGAACTGCATGGGGGCGGCCTCAAATGGGATCAGCTGCTTTCCTCATCCAGGCCACGCGGCGCCCATGGCAACCTGCAGCCATCTGATGCTTGAGTGCTGGCTTACTCATGCAGAGACACTACACCCAGTACATCCCAGTACTGCATAAGTGCCCGGCTCGGTTTCATGTTCATTTGCCACCAAGACTTGGAAACGCAAGGACATCACATGCTTGCAGGGTCATCTCGTCCTCGTTCTGATCACCATGCAGCAGAGCAAATTGAGTCACAGGCAGTACTCTCCATTTTCGGTCTCGGCCTTGGCAATGCTGCGCAGCCAAGGAGCACAACGGTGGTAAACTGCTGAAGCTGCTGAAGTAACTAACAACCTGCTGCTTTTGAGGGCTGAACAGTCTCGCGTGCCCTTGGACGATAGCTGTCCGTTGCTCTCGAAAACCTCGAATAAGCATGAGACTGGATGAGGTCGCCACTATGGCCTTGGCAACAAAGCAGCACGCGACTGTGCATCCGACGTGCGGGAGGACACGCTGCCCTCCGTAACCCAGTGGGCCTTGACATGCCAGCCAGAGTGGGACACCGGAACCGCATTCCCGCATTCACAGGATTCACAAGATTCACAAGCAACGTCAACTGTGTCAACCAAGCATGCACACGTACCGAAGCTGACAGTTCATGCTTTGCGGGGCCTCTACGCGAGTTACGACCTGGTGGGCTCTACGGGGGCTACGGGCCACTGGCCCGTGGGTTCTCATGTCCCACCCTGCTTAGTAGGGGCCTCCTCTATAGGTTAAAGTTTGCGGGCTATTCAGGACAGTGTGACCGTTTTGGGGTGCACGGTGGGATCCGCTCATAAGTCAAGCCGAATACTTCGTGCGGCGAGCCTTTTGAATCAATTGTCGGGCTTCCTCTCTGTCCCTTTCTAATTCATATAAACTCATCCCGTTCCAAAATATGAAATCTCGGGACCGTTTAAGACGGCCGACGTTCCTTCTGACATATTTTGGATGCGGGTTCTGCTCCACTTCTGTGCCCTGCAAATATCCCAAGCGTTTCTTTGCTACGTTCAGGGTGTGGGCATGGTTACACCGTACACGCGACTGCATCTCACCTCAACCTAAGAGTTCGAAGGCATTTTTCGGCACAATGCCAAAGCATCCTCACTTTCCATGGAGCTCAGCACGCGAAGTGAAGAAACGATTCCAGTTGGCCCTGCAGCTTCATTTCTCTTGGGCTGGGCGAAGATCCCCAAAGCATGCGTGCAATGCTTCAACATTGCAAATCTGGGAAACTTACATCCCCTTAGCGGCGACTTAAAGTTGTCGCTAGTCAAGCACGCGAGGCAAACTGCCCACGAAACGAACCTGCAGAAGGTGACAGCAGGGGACTTCAACTTGTGTTGCATTGCGCGCTGCACCCTGCTTGCATCTGGCCCTTGCGTATGGACATGCAGCGTGTGTCGGAATATGTCGGAATTATACTGCATTGCTGCCTTCCACTGAAGGAGGGCAGATGAGCACAGCCGAAAATTGAGCTCTAAGTTATGGCCAGGCACATAAGCCACGGGACATGCTAGCATGAACTGAACGATGCACAAAACGCAGCAAGGTGTAGACGACACGAGTTGGCAAAGATTGGAACTGCAAATGCCGACAACAGCCTACAATAGATTACAACAGCCACAACAATAGTCTTCAGTAGTGGAGATAGAGCTGCACGGCTGCATAGTCGCACAACACAGAACATTCAGCAAACCAAGAAGCGGCGTAGATTGTCAAAGGGCATGTGTGTGGTTGGTCGGGCTGGCAATGCATAATGCAACGACACTTTCTGAACCCTCTCTCTGAATACTCTCTGAGCAAAAACGAGGACAAAGAGAAAATCTTGTAACGAAGAGAACACAACACGCTCTCCAGCTTAACAGCCCTGAGAACTGAGAACGCTGTGGCACACTGTGGCCCGGTCCGGTGTCCAAGGCATCCCACGCAGCGCAACGAAGACGAGCATGAGGCACGAGCCTGAAAGGAAGCTTAGGATGCCCAGGCTGCAACACTGTACGTCACTGTACGTCTGTACGTATTCGAGAGTTGTTTCATGAAGCCGCCGAAGGTCTTGCCGGTGCTCAGATCATGAACCAATAAGGCTCATTTCCGGCCAACCTCCTCCAGACCCCGCCACGACACGTGACCGCTCCTAGACAACCTCGAACAAGTTACGAAGATACTCACTTAAAGACTTAAGCTGCACCACAGCACCACAGCACCACAGCACCACAGCAACGTGCAACAGCAGTAGATGACCGTCACATCGCTAAGTCGTATCTGCACGTGCGTGCAATACAAAAGGGCATGTCGCTGAACTCAATGCTCCACCCAAATCTAGCAAACACCGAATGTTGCTCGGCTTGGAGCAGCTTGGCAATTTCTGAAAGCACTGAGCCAGGAGTCCGTACATTCCGGCACATCAGTGATTGCAGTTCTCTCGATGTCAGAACAGCCGTCCCTTCTGCTTCTGAGCTCGGGGCCACCGGCAGCAAAGGCCATCGCCAGCCTCAAGCGCCAGCTGAACTTCCGACAATTTGAACTTTCCCTTTTCGCAATCTCTGAAAGCACTCTTGTCCTGCAAACACAAGTCTTCTCTGGGCCCCAGAGCTCCCGGAAGTGGCGGGCGTCAAGCTCCTCAACAACCCAGGACTAGGGTCACTGGCGCTATTGAGGGGGGCCCCTTTTCTGTGCTATATTCTTTTTTGTTCTTCTGCATTCTTCTGCCTTGTTCGGCTGAGATGTTGCGATATTCCGAAGGCCTGTGCTGCAACTCACACCTTTTTCTTCGGCCTTCCACTTCTCCTTGGGCCTGGTCATCTCAATAGTGCGTTTCCAACTGGGATGGTCACACCCAAAGTCCACGCCTCAGTTGCCAAACAAAATCACAGTGTCCCCAGCTTCAGAACCAGGATGACTCGAAAATAGATGACTTTAACAACAGAGTAACTCATGCATTTGCCGTACCAGGCACCGCCATGGCAGCAAGAAATACCCAAACAAGTTGGCTGCTCGACAGACCCGTCCAAACCAGCGCCCATTCCTTTTCAAGACACATGATGCAAAAGGCCTGTTCGCACTCTTTAGTTGATCTTCATTGCCCCTGGGCTTGGACTTACACCCTTGAGGTGTCCTCTTCTTAAGATTGGAGTTCGGACGTTCGCACAGGGCAGTACGATGTGCAAAGTGCGGCAAAGCTGTGCAGCGGCTTAGCCTGGAGCTTGAGGGTTGGTTTCCCAGCTCCCCGTGCGGAAGTAATGTGAAGTTTCCATTCGAACCACGACGAGCTCGAAATCCACCAAGCCTCAGACTTTGTGTTTCAGGCATGGCTACATGTTCTCTGAGGGGTGCATGTTGAGCCAGGAGACGCTCGATGTCGGTGTTGCACTGGGCCCTCGTGCCGGCAGGCAAACTTCTCCCGAGATGCGCCCCGAGATGGTACAAGTACCAGCGGTTGATCTTGGAAACCGCTCCACGGATATACGTACCGAGCCGAGATAAGCCGAGCATAAGACATGGGAGACCTCGACCGTTTGTGACACGAGAGGTGTGTCCAATGGACTGCTCCGAGACCAGCTTCGACAAGGTTTGAGCAAACGATGTTCATGGCTGTTCGTGTAGTGCCATGCACGTGCCATGGCCCCCAATTGCACCCCAATCTGGACGCTGCATCAACCAAACAAGTCCACAACCAGATCCTTGTGCGACGCAGACCCTTTGCGGACGCCGATCAACGCGTATTTATTACCCAATTTAATCAGAGGAAGGCTAGAACGAGTCACCCCCAACAAGAAGTCAAAAAAGCTGCCTCTTGAAGACAAGAGTACTGCCGCCGAGCATCCAAATTCCTGAAAACGCGCGGGTCATACATCACAGTACGGAAAAACTCTTGATCCTTAGCTCTTTGCGAATGCGTGATACAGAATGATACAGATGATGTGGCGTTGCACCCAGATATACTCGATTCATGGTCTGTGTCCCGCTGCTTTTCACATCAAGTGCGGCACGCCTTGTCAGAACCTGTCTTGTCGTAAGGAAAAAAGGCAGACGTACAAAAGTGCGCAAAGGTGTATTGACGTGGGGCAGAGAGTGGGCGGGTGGCGGGGGGCGGGCTCCAGCCGAACCAAATGCTGTCACCAAAAAAACGCACACGAAAGATCCTGCAAGAAGTGGGCATGTTGCGGACTGAACGTTTATGGTCTTCCAAGAAGCTGCGTTGATAAGGCTCAAAGCCCTTCCACGATGCACTGGAGCTGCAAATACTGCAAATGTGTTGGCCACAAACATGTCCTTGGTATCTATTCAACACGGAAGACTGGACAAACTGGCAGCCCAAAACGTGGGGGGGGTTCGGCACCTGTTTGGGCTTTGGGCTGCTAAGCTGTGTAAATGGCGTGCCGGCGACGTCCTGACGCTCACGCCGGCGACATGCCCCTAAACCCTACACACCTATCTAAACCTAAACAACCATACCATGCGTGTAATGGTGTGTCGATCCACTACTGATGCAGACGCCGGCGCATGCCGGCACCTTGCCCGCGCTTGCCGAGCGAACAGCTTAACAGCTTCGTTTGTTGTCCGACCCCGCACCCCACGATATGGCGATCCTGTTTGTGGAGGGAAAGAGGCTTTCCCAAAAGGAAACAGAAAATAGAAAATGCAAATATAAACATATCTATATATATATATATAATATATATCTACAGAAATCTATACATAGCTTCCCCCCTCCTCCATTGATCCACCGTTTTCGGCTGCAAACCTCTGAACATACGCTTTGGCCCTAGCTTAAAGAATGCGAAAGTACTGTGTTGTTGCGCACCACATGCTATCGCTAATCTGGGAACATACGCTTTGGTAATGGCCCTAGCTTAAATAATCTGAAAGATTCTGAAAGTATTGTGATGTTGCACACAAAATCAACTAAACGACTAGGACTTTTTTGATGAACACGTTTGATGATTATGTTGGCTCCCTTCCCCTAATGTAAGCTGCAAATAACTTCACGAATTGCCGTCTTGTTTGAAACCACACAACAAAACATGAGCTAAATGCAGAACCCAACAGCCTTTCAAACGCGCTTCATGTGTTAAGAAGCACCGGACTCAGTAGGCCCATAGGTTGTCCCAATTGCTGGCGTTCATTGTATTTCGATCCCCTCGGCCGCTATTTCAATACTATATTGTTATTTAAGTATAGCTGACCTTCAGATGTGCGAATCACATGAATGAGATTGTCTACATTCTACATCTTTGAACATGGGGGAGGATGAGCAATAAACTCGCAAATTGTGCTCCCAGTTGTTCTGAACATGAAATAATGGAGAATATGTTTTGGCTTCGAAAAATTCGTTCTGATTTCGCGACGAGTAGTAGCGGCTCTTTTATGGCAAAAGAATCGCCCATGCGTACATTCATTAAGTTAAACTTTGAGTATCCGTTGATGGTTTCACGATTCAAACCATGCGCTTGAAACACAGCGGCTACGCATGTTTAGCACTTGCGTCGGCCTCTGACTTGTCAATGATATCTTCTTTGCTCGAACAACCAGAATTTCCTTTATAAACCCCCCAAGTTCGAGCGGTAAGTACCTTCGCTAACTTGGTTGGAAACACATAATATACTGGTTATAGGGGGATCTAATTTTACGCGAGAACAGTGATACTTCCTGGACGGTTTTGGACTCCGAAACGGACGGGCCATGCCCTTGGTCCTACAACCGAAGAGCTTAAAAAGTCTGAATGTTCACAACGGAAAACTCAGTGGCCTTTATCCACATAATATACGGATCAAAGGCAAAAGGGGTATCTCAGCCTCACTATTCCTGAAGTTTACCCCAAAATAGCCATTTCTTAGACGTCTTTAGAATGCAACTCCCAAAAAAACTCAAGAGTTTCAAAAGATCTGGAAACACCCACAACGGAACACCCTAAAACCAAACAGTACACCCACTCAAGGGACTCAATACACCAACGTTTTTGGAAGCATTCCGGCGAGAACCTCTGATAACAGTTCATGTTTTAGGTGATTTCCATCGTTTCGGATAATGTCCTGACGGATTCTGCCATCCAGAAACGCAGGGTTCAGGCGTTGAGCTCTAGGTCCTCAAATCGAAGTTCCAAAAAATCATGTTCTATGGGATCTTCAATCTTCGAGGACCGAAAAATATTCGAGCTTGAAACGTTGTTGAGATTTCATACTTCTTTGGAATCGAAAATTGAAGATTGAAGATGCACACAACACTTTTTCTGGAGTCTTCTACTTGAAGACCGAAAAATTCTCAACTTCAGTTCTCTCATTTTGAAGCGTTGAAATTTTCCGGGTCCTCAAATTGCAGATTCCAGAAAAAACTTCGATTTGAGGACCGGAAGATTTCAAAATTGCATTTTTGTGGACATTCTGAACTATTTTTTGAAATCGAAAGTCTGAGTACTTCAAACCAATGCTCAACCCCTAAACCCTGCCCCCCCTGGACTTGAGCGGCTTGCTGAGGTCCATGCCTGAGCAGGACGAAAGACAAGGAAAAACGGTGGATCAACGAGGGGGGGGGACTCAAGACCGACCTCTCATGTGAGCTGTGGGTTAACCTACCAGATAATTCTTTGACATAGCAAACCCAAACAAAGCTCGACGAAACACTGCTCTAACTTCGCGCGCGTGGATCGCCGCACGAAGACTGCTTGGAACGCGAAATGGATTGGGAAGGGCGGGTATGGTTTAGGGTTGATGGCTGAGGCATGGGACTTGGGTAGTTGAAGTTGTGTGCGGTGGAAGAGGAGCTTGAAAGAAGTAATGTTGCACTGATTTTAGTATAAGGAGGGTCTATAATCACAAGTTTCAAAGATTTATTCAGCGAACCGAGTTTGTTCGGGGTACCGTCTATTATCACAAGTTTTTCCGGACTTTTTTTAAAGGGTTTGTGTTATGAGTAAAGAGCTTACGCAGTAAGGCTTGAGGCCCTGAGGGCTTGGGCTCCAGGAACCTTAAAGAGCCAGAGCGCGGAGAATCCAGAAATTTAAGCCCGGCCAGTTCCATGTAAAGCCTTGTGGAAATTCATTACGAAACGAGGCCCCAAACAAATTTTGTGATAGGTACAGTAGCCCACGGGCCGGTCAGGCTGTCTTTAGTAAGTTTGTCTGGCTACCCCCTATCCGCCGACCCCCTTTGTCGGCGTCAAGAAGCTGGACTCGTACCTTTCCCGCTGGACCCGCTAGTGCCCCTCCCCATGGACCCGCACAGCCTCCCCCCCCCTACCTACCCCCACCCCGTAGCCCCCCCCCCTCCCCCCCCCAAAAGCAACCGAATTTGTTGTTTTGGCGGGCGGAGAAGAGGGTGGAACCACGCGTTTTGTGTTGGCTGCACCCTATTGTGTTGGCTGCACCCTACCCCCCTACCTACCCTCACCCCGTACGCCCCCCCCCCTCCCCCCCCTACCCCCCCGCCTAGCCCCTCCTCACAGGAGAAGGACCAAAAGCAACCGAATTTGTTGTTTGGTAGGCGGCCAGAGGTGGGGGTTGCGAAACACGCGCTGGAACCCCTTGGAAGGTCGGCGTTGGTTTGGCGTTGTTGGCTGCGAACCCCTACTTACCCCGCCTGCCCTAACCCCCGTACCCCCCCCCCTCCCCACTGCCTAGCCCAGTATTGACCACAGAGACTGGGGACCAAAGAATGCAATTTGATATTTGTGGTGTTAGGAAGCATACCCCCCCCCTGCCCTCACCCCGTACCCCCGCCCCCTACCCCCCCCTCCCCCTCCTCCCACCTCCCCCCTACCCTCACCCCGTACCCCCCCCTACCCCCCTGCCTAGCCCGCCCCACAGGAGAAGGACCAAAAGCAACCGAATTTGTTGTTTTGGAAGGCGGCCAAAGTGGGTGGAACCACGCGTTTTGTGTTGGCTGCAACCCCCTATCCCTCACCCCGTACCCCCCCCCCCTCCCCCCCCCCCCCCCCCCCCCCCCCCCCCTACCCCCCTGCCTAGCCCCCCCCATAGGAGAAGGACCAAAAACAACCGAATTTGTTGTTTTGGAAGGCGGTCAAAACCACGCATTTTGTGTTGGCTGCACCCTACTGCCCCCTACCCTCACCCCGTACCCCCCCCCCCCCCCCCCCCCCCTACCCCCCTGCCTAGCCCCCCCCCACAGGAGAAGGACCAAAAGCAACCGAGTTTGTTGTTAAGCGGGTGTGTCCGGAAGAGGGCCCGGTGCCCGGACGTCCTTATCTTGGGGCTCGGCGGCAGTGGCGTCAGCCTTTAAATAATACCAAGTTGTTTTCGGATTTTTGTTTTAAGGTTTGTGTTTAGGGTTAAGGGCTTACGCAGTAAGGCTTAAGGCCTTGGGGGCCTTGGGCTCCAGGAACCTTAAAGGCTGGAAAGCTTCAGGCCAGGCCTTGAGGTCGAGGCCCTGAGTGCGGTTCCCCCCCCCCTTCCCCCCAAATTTGTTTGGGGGGATCGCCGGGCCACGCGTTTATAGAGGGTCCGAGTTGTTGGGGGGGAGGGGGGGGGGGGCCCATACTAAAGACAGTGCAACATTAATGTTGCAGGGTGGCTCTTGAGCTTGCAGCAGCTGCTGCGCCGCCGATTTTGCAAGAGTACGGACTCAATGATGATGGGCCTGGACCTTGAGATCGGCACGCAGGCTTCCGCGGAGCTTCCACGGAGCTTCCGCGGCGCTTCCGCCGAGGTCGAGTCAAACTTCGCGGATGGAAGGCCATGAACCCTGGCTTGCAGACGACCGACTTCCCAAGCTCAGCACAAATACTCAAACAGATGCGAACCATAATTGTTTGTGTCGTCGCTTCCACAGGAGCTTCCACGGAGACGTGATTCCGCAAACCCTTCCGCGTCGGAATAAATTCCGTACGTAGTTAACTTTCGAGAAGCGTTTAAAAAAAAGCTGCTCCTGTATTTCCTGCTCTTCTTACATCTGTAGCTGTGTGTTGCTGTGTTAGAGACCTATTGAAACACCGTAAGCACCGTTAATCTTCGTATTGGTCATAAGTATTCTTGCTTATGACCGCAGAAATGTCTTGTATGCCATGGCTGTACTTGCCTCCGGTTCGCACGAATACTATGGTATTTACAGCACTTTTAGCTCTTACATACATAGAAACCCCCAGTTCTAAGCTATTCTTGATAGCTTTTAGCCCATGATGTAGTATCTATATATATATATATACATACATACATATGTATATAGATATTTCATGTTTCGTGTGGATATCCCAATATACGGACGTGGGCCCGTGTCAGTATGGAGTACCCCAGACGGGATTAAGGTCGAAAGCGACTATCTCCTGTGTCATTAATACTAATTACTACATCTTTTCGGCTGTCAGGTTTCTACTTGATTACATATGCAGAAGTAGCTACTTATTTTAAAGTTTAAGATTTAGAGTGCCTGTCTCTTTAGGATTAAAAGTGACTGTCTCATGCATTCAAATTCTGAGCTCTTTTCGTCTGTGCATTTTGATTCTGAGTTTTTCGTTTATGATGCTGCCGTGTCCGAAGCACCGCGTCAAAACCAGTGTAATTTAAGGCCGCCCACTTCATTAACTATGGTCGCGTTCCGCCTAATTATATTTCAGTACCAGTCAAAGGCTTCATGCTTTGTTTTCTTACGTTAGGAAACAGACACAGCACAGACGCGATATCGATTCGGGAATACGCAGATAACATTCATTAATCCATGGCCTTGCCCCACACTTCTGTTTTTTTCACTACAGCAGAAATCTCCGGAGACGCCCCAGACCATGGCTTTGCGCAGCCCCGGCGATTTACACTCTGATCCGGAGCCAAACTGAAAAGTTATATGAGGGTTAGATAATTTGTTTGGTTTGTAAGATGAGGCCCAAATCGTGAACGATCAACTCATTCTTCAGCGAACTTCTACAAATGTAGAGCTCCAGCCACAATAAGCATTTCAACTCATTTAAAGGAACAAGAGCGACCTTCATTCTCAGATAACTCACACATCACAGTCTTACTTCCGCAGCCAGATGGGCTGTCAGGCCTGCATTCGCACCCGACCAATTCCTGCACCTCATCATGACACCAATGGATCTGGAGCAAGGACAATCGGACGTAGCTGAACGTTGGCAGGCGGAGTCTACTGTCCACCGAGTCGCACGGGACAGAAATGGACAGAAGACAGCACACTTGGCACCAGCCATCGCACTGTTCTGGGAATGCCGGCATCGACATCTTCACGAGTTTTGGCCAGTTTCCTACTTGACCTATGAGATCCGGCAAGGCACTGTAGAAGCAAAACGTGATTAGTGAGGTGCTCCCTCAGCATCGAGAGCAGCATCGAGCAACACAGCAACAACTCAATCGCAGCCCCGTGTGAACACAAAAGTTAGGTACATATTTCAGTATTTGTGACATTAGGAGAACTTGAAACCGAATGGCTGCTCCAGCTAACAACACTGGGCAATTTGCGCGCAAACCCAATGCATGGGCAGTAAAAAGTACTGAAGTTCTGCCGAGGGATCGCTCAGTAAATCATCAATAGGCCGCGAATAGCCACTATCTGCATGTCGTTTCAGAATGCTGAGTGCTGCATCTCTGGAGATGGCATATGCAGTCGTGCCAAGGCCAGGCGCGCGATCAATTTTGACTGGCCCGTACCAGTCAGGCGCCGTGCGTTCTACCCTCAGCACGTCGACGTTGGACGTGGACAATGAGGGTAAAGCCTCGTCTTTGCGAAGCTTTAGAGAAGCGGCCGAGTGCACCAGGCTTAGGTGCAATATCTTCCAGTCTGCTTTGCTGCTCCAATCGTCAAAGGCTTCCAACGTACTCTGCAGGTCTGCGGCAGAAAGAACCATCACGTTGTCCTCGAATATCACGGCCCATGGAATTCCTTCGGCCACCACCTCCTCATACACAGAGAGATGCGACAAGTAGCAACCGCGGGCGCCATCTTCAGCATCGCGTTCAAAAACACGAACCCGTGGATTGCAAACCGATGCCAGGGCAGCGATGGCATCTCTACGACGTTCAGTCGCGCAAGCGGTGCTGATCAAGAAGCAGCGTTTGGAAATGTCCAAAGACTCCGCCTGCGGCATGCACCTCACTCCGCATCGATGGCACCGATGGTGCCGCGCATCTCTGGTGAACGTGCTCCAGGCTTGGCACGCGCTTCTGGCACCGACAACAGACAAACTCATCAAGATCGGTACTAGCAGCACTTGAGCTAGCGGCCTGCGTAGCCAGGGTCGAGGTCTGGAAATCACCATGACGGCGACCCAGCCGTTTACCCACAAATTACTAGTCCCAGACACTAGGGAAGACACAGAAGTTGCATTGCCTATCTTTGAAGATCCCGCCAAAGTATACCGAACGAACGTGAACTGCCATGGCCACACGTCCGGTCATTTGCCACAATCTAGCCCTGGCACTTGAACCACAGCAACATCAAACCGCATCGTTGTGGTATGAGCAGCAGTCGAGCAGCAGTCATGCTCAAACATGTGCATCATCCTCCGTTCTCTGCACGAGGTCGTCATACTCTTGGATCATGTCACGACCAATCCTCAATGACCGAGCTAAAACAAAGAGCATTTGCAGATGCGGGCGCTGCCGGCCGTCAGCTTAACTTCCGAGATCTTCCGAGGGGCAGAATTGCATGTGGGTTGTCCGATAGCCTCAGCTTCCGGCTTCCGACATTCAAGTTCACATTGGCTCACAGCGAAGTTCGATGTTCTACGCTCCAATCGTTTGGTTAAGCCGAAAGCTGAAGGTGCCTTCGACGCTGTCGGTGGCCTCACGAAAAGCACATTCTTCAACCACGCTGGTGCCACCTTTACCTAGAGCCGAAAGCCTTGACCACAGGACGCCGAGCAGGAGCCCCATGCGCCCCAGATTGCCCAACCACAAAAATGCCTCAGGGTGAGGGCAAAAAGCTTTCAGAGTGCCGCTCTCAGAGTGCCCTTGAGGTCGAGGCTGTGTGTGGCAACTACGTGGGCACCTTCCTGCCTCGACAGGGTAACAAGACACCACGACAAGCGCAACGCAGCTGCTGCTGTTACGATTTTTGCCTCCTCTGTGTTCGTGAGCTCGCACTCCTTGCCTGAGCGGGCTGATCCCTTCTCCACATTTACATAGCAGAGAGAGGTCAGAGAGAGATCCGCTGACTTTCCAGCCTCCTGCTGTCGGGTACTGCATGATGCTGCGAAACCTCGTGGCATCTGCTTCCACTGTCATAAAGATGCGCGTCGGCAAGGTGGTTCCAGCCTTTTTCTCTGTCCGCTGCACTTGCCACAGGCGCCCCACTCCTGCCAGCTGAGTGCCAGCTGCTTTTCTGATGATCCCCACTTCGGTCTTCTGCTATATCCTGTCCTGGCCCTTGAAAAACATGGCACAAATACAAAGGAAGCACTGGCAACTACTGGGCAAACGGTCCTCCCAGTCACCAAAGATGCAATCTTTTGGCTCAGGGCCCCCGCACTCGTGTCTGGCCTTGGCAGTCAATCGGCGATGGGAGCCTTCGGCGCTTCTGAACTAGCCAAAAAAAGGTTCGTTGATGCTTCTTGGCTGCTCGCCCGACACACTGACATACACTGACACAGCTGACTACATTGACGTCCAGACCGAAGAGCTGCACTCTAAGGTCACCACACACTCAGAGATCTGCTTTAGGTCGCCTTCACCTAGGTTTCGCGCAGTTACCCGTATCGTTCCAACGCAGCAAGCGCAGTGAAGCTATAAGGCTCCTGCATGGAAGTCCCCCGTTCTTCGCGTGTTGGACAATCTCGCGACTCCGCCTGAATTAGTTGCCGATCTCCATGTCATGTCTTTCGCCGTACTGCGAGGAAACTTCGGGGCAACTCCAGAATACTCCAGACGCCCACAATTCCACCCAGGTCGTTTATCTATTCCTTGTATGGCCTGGTGCAGTTTTCGAACCGGCGGTAGAAGGAGAGACGGGGCCTGTCCTAGTCGGCCTGCTTCTTTGACTAGCTGCCTTTTGCAATTCCAAACGTTGCTGGCCAGGATGTGATGCTTGCACACAAGGTGAATGCATGGCATGCATGGCATACATTTGAAACGTGAAAGAGCAAGCAGCTGCTCGGAAAATCTACGGTGTCACGCGCACAAGAGTGTCCCAATAGCTGTCCTTCTGCGTGCATGGGAGCGGTCAGCCATTCTGCATTTCCGGATGTCCAGATCCAACCGCTGCAAAAGCGAAGATCTTTAGACATTTTGAATAATACGGATGGAGCTGAAGTTGCATCGACATGTTGGAACTGAGGGATTTAAAGACATGCAGGTCAGTTGACTGCACGCGTAACAACATGTAACAACACTTGCTGACGGATGAATCTGAAGCATTTGGAGATTCTGCCTTGTTGGCAGCAGAGCTCTACTTGCTGCAGGACTTCTACAGCTGCTGAGAGGCAGCGACTTCATGTCAAGCACAAGTCAACCAGATTCTGCATCCACGGCACGCATGCTCGCCGCCACCACAAGTAGCGCTGCACGTTTTCCAGGCCTGTCACAAGCCGACCTTTTTATAGCAACTGGTTGACAAGTGGCACAGCTGTTGCACCCGAACCTCCCAAGGGCCGAACAAGCAATCTTGAGCAAGGCCTGGACCGCAGCCCTGCCATGTGCAGACCGCTGACAGCAGTGTACAGCAGTGCAGGGAGCATTGCATAGCAGAGGGGAAATGTCTGGAAAACTTGTGGAAATGATGCTACAAGGCAGGTGAACGGACGTAGTACTGTGCGTTGTCGAGTCACTGGCCTGGGGCAATGGGGAGCCTGAAGGCGGATTGCACGGCGCTGTCTCCCGCAATCCCTGGGTAGTGCGAAAGAAATGCAACCCATGAAGAAAGAGAAACAGCAGGACTAGGCTTGTGTAGGGGCCATGCACCCTTGCACCATCTGCCATCTCCTTTTCCATAAACTCGGACCTGGCATTGCAACGACAAACGTGCGGTGTTGAACTGCACGTTGAACACTTTTGTGGGTGTAGCGGGTCATTGTAGGTTTGTGAAGAATTTAATCCCCCTCTCAGGAAGCGCGCTTAGACGAAACAAAATGAACAAGTGTAGCATTGCACACATACTCTGCAACAAGCATCAACAAGCTGGCACCACAAGTGTACTATAGCTACTACGTTACTACAGCAGCGACATGTAAAGAGTGTTGGAGCCAGTTGGAGCACGAACTTATTCAAACAAAGGAAATTCTGAGCCACGCGGCTGTGAAAAAATCTGTGTAGTTCCAGGGTTTCACCCTTTCACAGGCCAGCGGAGCCACTCGAGAGCGATGTCGGATCCCATCACAACTTGACGAACAGGCACTCCAAGAGCTCCACCTACGGCATCCGCTGCGGTGTTTGTAGGTATCATCATTTGCAGGTCGAGGTCGAGTCAAAGCTGTTCAGCTCCCTCTGATGTTATCTGAAACGTGAGATTGTGGCAGCTTGGAGCCACACTCCGACAGCTCGCAATCCACAGGCCTGCACGCAATTCCGAATTCAAAAAAGGTTCAATATTAAGTGTAGTAACCCCATCCCTGGCATACCTGGAGCAAGAGACGCCCACGTCGCAGAATGCAATCTCCCTGTTCTTGCCCAACGGCCTGGACTTTAAGCAGCAAATCATATCAAATCATCATGCCAACCTGGCTATGTCACGTACTGCCGAAGCCAATCAGGCTGCTGCTCCCGGCCACAGTCGTTAGCCATGATGCCAATCCTTCGCAAGCGCCGCTTAGGCAGGCAACTCTTCTTCACAAAGAGTCTTCATGTCCTGCGTCGGCGGAATGTGACTCCGCCACCTCTTGACATGTTCGGGATGAGCCGATTCCCATGCAACGTGCAACACCTGTTAGAACGTAACGGAACCATGCTGAGCTCAGCTGCCACAAGAGACAGAACAGGGTGCCCATGATGTCCATTCGGCCCACCTCAAAACAACGGTGACTCATGGCAATTCCATATTCAACAGGAACGACCTGTGTGCGTGATCTCGATTGGGAGACAACAATCCCAGACGCGTGTCAGTCACTTGACAAAGGGAGACCAGCTCCCTCTCCCAGGATGATGGCGCAGCTAGAAGAAAGCTGTGGCTCGTGATCGCTTCCGGCACGCAGAGGCTGCTTAGAGCAGCTGGACAGTCAGGGAGTGGGAGTAAGCGTCTAGCTGCCCATCTCGGCATTGCGATCCACCACAGGGTTGTGTATTGCAAGGCCTCAAGGTGCCCCCGCAACTTATGCACAACGGCAAGAACTGACATCTTTGAGAGCAACACGCTATTTGCTCCTTGTCACCCTCCTCACAAGCATGACTATGGCATGGTGCTGCACCGGTTGTCCTAACACGTGGTGTCATTGACTCAACGCCTTTGCGCCCGCGAAGAGTCCTGACATGGCGAGCCGCCATTGCGAGGGGCACGAGCGATGTGTCGCGTTCTGGTTTGCCTTCGTTGAGCGGCAGATCACATCTGCAAACACACAATCAAGCGATCTGAATGGGGGCATGCAGCTCTGCAGCCACCAACGTCTGCGAATCTGTGTCCCCCGCTGTCCCCCGTCACAACTGCAAGTACAGCCACTCCACTCGCTCCATTGGCCTTCGTGCCAGCCACAGCACTTGTAACATTTTGACCATTTTGAACATCTAACATTACTAACATTGTCATCAAAGCCGGGGGCCAGACCCCACTCGCAGTCAAGCCTCCCGCAGTAGTGCTCGCCTTCCTCGTGCATTTGACAGTTTGAGCAGGTTATGCGATCACAGTCATCGCTACGAAAGCTACGAAATACACTCTACTCTACTGACTCTACTTAAGTCTCTAAGATGGGCACGCACTGCTGCGTCATGCCAAGACCCTTGTCGCAGCCTGAAACTGGCGAAGCGTTACTGAGATGTGAAGGGTTGTCTTCAACCAGTAAGAATCGGAGCCGCACCAATTCCTTCCAAGCTTCGCAAGCTCACGATGTGTCGGCCTTGATTGCACGGCGGCGCTTCCATCCCCAGCCGCATTCGATTCATTCGATTTTCAGAAGATTGAACCCCATGAGCCCCAAACTTCTGCTCTGCTGCCCAGCTCCGCAGCTGGAGGAGCAGGGACCCCACCTCACCAAATGACGACGCGAGTCCTGCTTCTGCCTGCTTCTGTCATTGCGGCACATTGCGGCACCCCACGCTGAGCACCGGACTCACTCCACTGCGAGACGGTGCAATCTTGAGCATCGCAGGACCTATTGAAAGAGGGTCAGCATCACGCCACATCGAAGCTGCCCGGCATAGTCACGCCCAGTCGCTGAGGGTTGCAACTTCGTGTCACCTGCCATGGTTTTTGTTGGCTTTGCAGAGCGCGCGTTGAGGCATGAGGCCATGATGAGGCCTTGAGGTCTGTGGGGCAAGAGGCGCCCCCAGCTTGGGGAAAACGGCGAACCTGCCCACTTCCGCACTTCAGTGGCACGCAGTAGCATGCGGCACATGCGGCAGTATGCCAAAGCAAAGAGAAACTCATTCGGAAACATGCTAACAAATCTGCACCTCACGATGTCGCGTTGACTGCCCTCCACCACAAACTTAGTCCGAGCCACATGCGCAATCGACATGCGGTTTCCTGTTATGCAGTTCTGTCATGCCACTGACTGCCACACCGTATATCACCGAATTCACCGGCCAAGGATTACCGACCCACCACTTCAACAGACTGAAGGCCCAGTACCACTAAATTCGTTTCGCTTCGGACATGTCATGAAGAGCATCAGGCCATGGGCTCACGGGACGGGCCATGATGGGCTGGCCCATTCTAGAGCACATTGGCACACTTACTCGGGAATGCCCACCGTTCCGAGGAACAGGGCTGAACAAGTCGAAACACGAAGGCATAATGAGCACCCAATTGTCGCGGCAATGCAGCAAATAAACGCCGATATGCAGGCTACAAACATGCTACAATTGCGCCAAATCCGCCGACCCCCCGAAGCGGGGGCGGTATCAGTGAAGACTCATTTTCCCTGCACCACCCTCCCCGCCCTCCCCGCTCTCTCCGTTCTCCCTTGCCATGCTCTTAGTGCTTCTGCCATGCTCTTAGTGCTTCATCGATAGGGCCTGCCCTCCCAACCTGCTGCTTACCTTGAAATGAAGTCTTTTGAGGGCTGCATTGCATCTCCCAAAGCCTGTTCACAACCTGTCATTTTTCGCTTGAGATGAACACACACCGCCGCCCCCCGCCCCCGCCGCCCTCACCGCCCTCACCCCCCATGATGCTGGGGGGGGGGGGCCGGGGGGGGGCTTACAGGGCGAGGAACAGAGCCAATGATGCACGTGATGCCTCTGTCGGAAGAGGGTTGTGAGACTTTTGTCAGGCTCGCGCAGCTTCTCTCGTGCGCGCCCCGCGCCCGCGCGCGCGCCGTTTGGGTGGCCTTGCGCGCGTGCGCGCGCGGGGGCGCGCGCGCTGCTGCGTGCCTCTGCCTTCTCGGGGCGTTGCCCGCCCCTGGGCGCAGCCCCTTTTTAAAAAATAGCTAGTCCGTATAGCTAGTGACTGGTAGCTAGTGCACCATCGTGGACCGAAGCTCTGAGGCGGGGGCCCCGGTCGCAACTGTCCCACTCGCTCCACTCCTCACATCACTTTTGAACGAATCGCTATGCAAGGCGCTTCTCGGGTAGCTTCGGAGTCTGATATCACCACACATTACAGCAGGTTACAGAGTGGCTGCTACTACTATTCACCTTCGAACGGCTTTACAGGGATAGCCCCCCATGCTCAATAAAACTCTTTCCTAATCCCTATCCCATGAGAGCATAAAGGGAGGGGGAAGGGGGGTGCATGGATTGAGCAGCGGAAGCTGTGGCTAACAAACTGCGACACCCTTGAAGGAGTTCCCGCCGCAAGCACAATCAATTTCAGATTTCAAGACCTCAATAAGGTTGAAGACGGAAGATTATCAAAACGTGTTGGTAAGCTCTTCAGTTTCCTATTCGAGGGTCTGAAATAGTGCAAGTATTGAATGTCACTCTCAGCGAATATGGAAGAGCTCCAACAGCAGCATTTAAACGAATCCGTGTTGAACGAAGACATCGGGCACCGCAATGCTTTTCAGTGCACTGAGTTCCAAAACCTCAATTATGCCGGCGAAGACCCCAAACAGTAAGATTGTAGATGAAGGGAAAGCGGCATGAAACAATAACGCGACGCGTAGAACTCGCCTTATTCGTCTCTTCTGCACGCAGCTTGTCTTTACGACGAAGGATCAGCTCTTAACTCAATTCTATTGCGGTTGTGGAAGGAGCAAGCTACGCGAATGCATCTTGCCCACTTAAAAATGCACCTGAGCATGTTCTTCCTGATTCTGGGTCTGTTTCGGTACTCCTGCAAGATGCCGAACATTGTTCTAAACGCGTTTTTCAATTCCTATAGCTACTTTTATGCACAGAAAACACATCAGAAGAATCGAATACGTCATGAGCCAGCAGAAACCAAGACTAAACATGATAGGAAACCAGCGCCAAATGCATTCTTCGGGCGACGAAAAATGCATTTGGAATGCCCTAGAAATGCATGTCGGGTAGATGTTGGTCGTAAAACACCAACCTACTTTTTTGTTTTGTTTTCGTTTGCTTTTGATGCTGTAATGGAGCAAAGATAACCCAATAGACATGGATGACCAGACGCTGCCGAATGCATTTTGCCAGGCCTGAAACACGCATTTGGTCTTGCTTTCCACATGTGCAACGCCGCATGCTCTTTTCGCACTTTTTCAAAGCGAATACAGCTGAATGCATTTGGGCACGGGCGAAAAATGCATTCGGACTTTGGTTTCTTCCGTACGGGGCCTCTGTCTTTGACACAAAAGTCAGTTATCAAGTGATTTTTTTATTGTGGTTTTGGAAGGAGCAAGCTGCGCGAATGCATTTTGCCTTTGCAAAATGCATCTGGGCATGTTGCTTCTGATTTTGGGCCCCTTTTCGGGAGTTTTGCGAAACGGTGATTATGGTTCTACACGCGTTCAAATCCTATATATATAGAATATAGATGTTCTTATGCGCAGAAAGACATCAAATTTCGAAGAAGTCATGAGCCGGCAGAACCCAAGATTGCAACATGATAGGAAACCAGTGCCAAATGCGTTTTTCGGGCGACGAAAAATGCATGTGGAATGCCCTCAGATGCATGTCGGGGAAATGTTGGTTGTAAAACACCAACCGACTTTTTTGTTTTGTGTTTGCTTGTTTTGATGCTGTAATGGAACCAGACAACCCAATAGACATGCCTGTCCAAGCGCTGCCCGAATGCATTTTGCCAGGCCTAAAAACAGCTTTTGGTCTTGCTTTCCACATTTGCAACGCCATGCTCTCTTTGTGCACTTTTTAGAAGGCGAAAGCAGCTGAATGCATTAAAGCGCGGGCGAGAAATGCATTCGGACAGGGGCTTCTTCTGTACGCAGCCTCTGTCTTTACGACAAAAGATCAGCTTTTAACTCAATTCTATTGCGGTTGCGGAAGGACCAAGCTGCGCGAATGCATTTTGTCCACTTAAAAAATGCACCTGAGCATGTTCTTCCTGATTCTGGTCTGTTTCGGTACTCCTGCAAGATGCCGAACATTGTTCTAAACGCGTTTTTCAATTCCTATAGCTACTTTTATGCACAGAAAACACATCAGAAGAATCGAATACGTCATGAGCCAGCAGAAACCAAGACTAAACATGATAGGAAACCAGCGCCAAATGCATTCTTCGGGCGACGAAAAATGCATTTGGAATGCCCCAGAAATGCATGTCGGGTAGATGTTGGTCGTAAAACACCAACCTACTTTTTTGTTTTGTTTTCGTTTGCTTTTGATGCTGTAATGGAGCAAAGATAACCCAATAGACATGGATGACCAGACGCTGCCGAATGCATTTTGCCAGGCCTGAAACACGCATTTGGTCTTGCTTTCCACATGTGCAACGCCGCATGCTCTTTTCGCACTTTTTCAAAGCGAATACAGCTGAATGCATTTGGGCACGGGCGAAAATGCATTCGGACTTTGGTTTCTTCCGTACGGGGCCTCTGTCTTTGACACAAAAGTCAATTATCAAGTGAGTTTTTTATTGTGGTTTTGGAAGGAGCAAGCTGCGCGAATGCATTTTGCCTTTGCAAAATGCATCTGGGCATGTTGTTTCTGATTTTGGGCCCCTTTTCGGGAATTTTGCAAAACGGTGATTATGGTTCTAAACGCGTTCAAATCCTATATATAGATGTTCTTATGCACAGAAAGACATCAAATTTCGAAGACGTCATGAGCCGGCAGAACCCAAGATTGCAACACGATAGGAAACCAGTGCCAAATGCGTTTTTCGGGCGACGAAAAATGCATGTGGAATGCCCTCAGATGCATTTCGGGAAACGTTGGTCGTAAAACACCAACCGACTTTTTTGTTTTGTGTTTGCTTGTCTTGATGCTGTAATGGAACCAGACAACCCAATAGACATGCCTGTCCAAGCGCTGCCCGAATGCATTTTGCCAGGCCTAAAAACAGCTTTTGGTCTTGCTTTCCACATTTGCAACGCCGTGCTCTCTTTGTGCACTTTTTAGAAGGCGAAAACAGCTGAATGCATTAAAGCGCGGGCGAGAAATGCATTCGGACAGGGGCTTCTTCTGTACGCAGCCTCTGTCTTTACGACAAAAGATCAGCTTTTAACTTGGGTTGTGGAAGGAGCAAGCTGCGCGAATGCAATTTGCCCGCTTTGAAAAATGTGTCTGAGCATGTTCTTTCTGATTCTGGGTCCACCCTGCCTCCGCCCCTCTCAACCCCCTGCCCTGTCGCTCATGATCGGAGACCATGCCACGTCACACCCCCTTCACTCGTGATCAGAGACCATCGGAGACCACGGACCCAAGCGCGTGACACCCCCGCAATCCCTGTCGCTCGCCACGGACCCGAACCGCGTGACACCCGCCCGGCCCCATTGCGCTCATGGTCGGAGACCCTGGGAGACCACGAACCCAAGCGTGTGACACCCTCTCAACCCCTGTCGCTCATGATCGGAGATCATAGACCACGGACCCGGACCGCGTGACACCTGCCAGTCAATGATCGGAGACCGTGGGAGACCACGGACCCAAGCGCATGAACACCCTCCCAATGCCTGTAACTGTAGCTCACCACGGACCCGAACCGCATGACACCCGCCCAGCCCCATTGCGCTCATGATCGGAGATGTTGGGAGACCACGAACCCAAGCGCGTGACACCCTCTCAACCCCTGTCGGGCCCCTGGTGGCCACGCTCCAGAACTCGGGCAACACGCTGCAGCTGGAGTGCCAGGCCTACTCCACCGCCCAGACATACACGCAGGCCGAGGTAAACACCCAGATCTCGAACGCCGTCGACGCCCTGAATGTTTCGCAGTACGCCACGCAGGCCGACATCGACAGCTCCCTCAGCGCAGAGCTTGCCAACTACTGGGACCAGGGCGAAACCTCGGCGGAGATCGCCAGCCAGATCAGCTCCTCCGGGCTCCTCACCGAAGCCCAGGGCGACGCCCGGTATCATCCCGCCAACGGCAACGCTGGAGGCGGAGGCATCATCCCTATGGTGCTCGACAATTTCACGCCAAGAATGATAC